TTTGGCCTCTCAAGGCACCTATTGCCACCTGCATTCTACAGACGATAAGATCAAGGCTCAAAGAGTGACTTCACACGGTGTCATATAAGCAGAAAGGGACAGTGCAGGGACGAGAAGTCAGCGGGTGCTCTTTCTCCTCCTCTATGCAGCCTCTCCTCAGTGTGGGCCAAGGGCTGGGGGATGGCTTCATGGGAAGTTATGGTCTGAAGAGTTAGAAGGTTGTTCCATGTGCCCCGGTGTCACCCTTCAGGCTGTGCAGTGTGGGCTGAGTCTGGCTTAGACATTAGGGAGGCGTCTGGGATGACCAGGGGGCTAGGGGACCAGGCAGTGTCTCTGGGAGTTTGCCCATTGGAATCTTGGAGTCAAGTTTTGTGCCTGTGAGGGAGGCAAGCAGCTTCCCAAAGAATAAAATCAGTGAGTGAAGGATATAATCCCCAGTTCTTCTCAAATTTGGGGATGTTCATTGCTGCATACTAGTACATGCTATGAATAGGCAGTGATGGCGAACCTATGACACGCGTGTCAGAGGTGACATGCGAACTCATTTTTTTGGTTGATTTTTCTTTGTTAAATGGCATTTAAGTATATAAAATAAATATCAAAAATATAAGTCTTTGTTTTACTATGGTTGCAAATATCAAAAAAATTTCTATATGTGACACAGCACCAGAGTTAAGTTAGGGTTTTTCAAAATGCTGACACGCCGAGCTCAAAAGGTTCACCATCACTGGAATAGGAAGTGATGTTTCCCAGACATAACTGCTTTGGAAAACTTCCCAAGTCTCTAAGGTGAATAATCAGGAATGGCACATAGTGTGGATGCTGGCTATTTGACGTGGAAATGAGGAGCTGGCATGCACCTAAGATGTCCAAGGAAAACAGGGCCTGGTCCAGGTTGCATAAGCGGGTGGATGAGCCAAGAACGTTTTCCTGTAGAGCTCTTAAAGAATGGCACCTCGCTTAGATGCCACAGGCGATTCTGACCCCTGGAAAGTCCAGAGCTGAGCGAGATGGCTCCCCAAGGTAGCCTACCACGGAGCTAGAGGTGCTTAGAGAATGGCATTCCTGGCTGTGTTGACTGAGCCTGATTCCTGGCACATAACCAGCAAGTTGTGAAATTCAGATATCGTATGGAATCTAGGTCTGTCACATGCTTAGCTGACCTCAGGAAACAAAACCCGTGTCCATGACTAATAGACACCAATGACTGAAAGGTGAAGCACAAACAAGTAGATAAACAGGGAGGGCCGATGCCAGAGCCTTGCAGATTCCCCGGGAGCTCCCCCTTGTCGGTGACCAGTGAGAGTGCGCCGGCATGGAGGGGGTCCTGCCCTGAAAGGACAGGAGACCTGGGCATGGTTCACCCTTGGTGGATGTTACATTGCATTTTCCTCCTGCCCCATCTCTTGGCCTCTCTTGTTCACCCAACTCCTGCCCCTCCTACCCGCCGGTCCCCTTTGCTCTCCTGCCCCTAATAGGGATGCCCATGGCTGCCTTCTGGGTTGATCCTCAGTACTTCCCAAGGCACCACCACCTTCTCCCCCTCCCACACCTCCTTCTGGACTCATTTCATCCCGCATCACAGGCCCATACTCTGTAACCCCTCCCCACTCAAAGTGCACCCATTCCTCCTTCAATAGAGACCTTCGGGAGAGGCATCAATACACCTTCGCCTGAGGTACCGGCCCTCCCAAGTCCCATGTGAGTCACTGTGAGGGATGGGCTTCTTTTCCCCTCTGACGTCCATCTCCTCTCCGGCCATTTTCCTCTTGCTCTGTACACACTAGAGATATGAAACAGATAGTCCTCGTGCCTGGGGCCAGCCCTCCTATAGAGGTGACTAAGCCACTAGGCTTGCCCATTTCAAGGACAACATGTTTCCTTCAGCTGCAGGTCCTGTCCCCACCACTCAGGTTCTCTGTATCTCCCTCTGTCACCCCTCCAAGGTCTCTGACACCTACCTACTGTGCAGCTCAAGCCCAGGGAGAAGATGCCAAGCCGCCCTGATGGGTTCTGGAAGATTATCTCATCCCTGCTCCATGCTGCCCATCTGATTCTGATTTCAGTCCTGGACAATGTGCACACAGTCTCCCCTGCTGAGCTCGCCCGGTCCACATTACGCACACTCTCCTCCACCCGCAGATCGGTGCCACCAGGCTGGCCCGCTGGCAAGCCTTCCTGGCTTTATTGCAGTCTAGCGGCTTTACCTAAATATCTCCTGATAGAAACTGACCCTGGCCATGGCTTCCCACTTCTCCAGTCAACCCACACCGTGGAGGCATCACGCTGGGACCTGCACTTGAGTCTGACTCTGCTCTTAACTAGTTAGCTGACTCTGGCAAGTCACCTCTGTGAACTACGGTTTCCTCATCTGTGCAATCAGGATAATAATACCCCGTTCCAAGGATCAAATGAGCAAATGAACATGAAGGTGCTGTAAACTGTAAAGCAGCATCCCAAGCCCGGTTCTGCGGAACTCTGCTTCAGGAGAAAATCTATGTCGGGTTTGAGGAGGGCTGACCTAAGCAACATGAACTGGGTTTCCTGGCTCTAGGATGTCTCAGAACCTTTAATTTGCCAACGTGCATAGCAAATGCAGGCAAGGCACAGGGTACACAATAAAGCTTTATCCCAAAACCACTTTTTTCATAGACTACTTATTCACATATTTTAAGTTACTATTTTCTACAGATCAAAGCATCTATTAATAGTATACCTCCTACAAATAATAATGCTAATCTTTCCACAAAATTGATTCCATCATCCAGGTCTCTGGTCCTGAGTAACACCAGTCAGTCTGTTTCTTAAAAAGTATTACTGGCACCCTTCCATCTTCTCAGCTTTGCGCTGTGGACTGTGGGGGACAGGGGCCTGGTTTGGAAGGCTCCACAGTCGGACTCCACTCTGGCCTCCCGCCATCCTCACGCTGGACTCTGCCCCAGGCAGCGTGGGGAACCCATTGTCCTGTGTACACATCCTTCCTGCTCCTGCCCCCTGCTTTCGTCCCATCTTTCTTCCTGACAAGGTGCCTGTTTCCCATCTCTACCAACACGGTTGTGACTCAGTCTTCAAGTCTCAGCCAAGCCCTCACTTCTCCATGCAAGTTTGTCTAACCAATGCAGACTGTCCCGGCAGGAAGACTGGCTCCCAATGCAACTGGAAACCCCTAGAGGCAGAGAGCATTAGATACACTTCCTGTTTTCTCCCCCAACCAGGATTTGTGTGATTGCCCTAAACCCTACTTTGGGAGCTTGAACCTCCAACGGCGGGGATGGGAGGGAGGGGTCCTTCTGAACTGGGTGGGTTTATTTGCACCATCAGTTATTCAGTACATGTTTATCATTGGGAACCCAAGGTTGAGTAAGATAAGGCCCCTGCCTTTAAGAAGCTCTTGGTCGAGACAAAAACATAAACAATTCATTGCGAGCTAGAGTGCTGAGTGTAACAATAGAAATAATATGGGAGCACAAAATAGGGTTCATGGTGAGAGCAGCTTAGGACCAAGGCAGGATTCCCAGAAGACATTCCCACCCCTGTCCCATGGCAAGGTTATGGGGGTCTACCTATAGGGGAGGAAGAGCACTGGAAACTTTGTGGGAGGGGATTTGAGTTTGTTACCATGGTTACAGAGGAGGAGATGTCAATGAAGCCAGAGGGTTAGGGCAGGCGCTGGAAGGGGGAGTGTGAGATGGGAGCTATGCATCCCACTCTCCCAAACACACACACGCGCACACATGCACACACACAGTCTGTGGGAATCCCACTTCCCTGCTTTTCCATCGTACCCTCTCACTCCTTCTTCCTTCTCACCTGGATTCATTTTTTTCCTTTCCAAGTCCTCTGTTGCCTTCTGGTCCTGGGGCCATCCATCGTGACCTCATTGGAACAGCTCTGTGTCTGCTCTCAGTAGCTAGTGGCCTGCTTTGGCGAGAGGCTGGTCAGCGCGATGCCCACGCCCTGTGGGGGGCCCTGGGGAGGGAGGTCAGCCTGGAGTCAGTGCTTTCTCTTTTCTTCTCACAGAAAACCAAAAGAGACGTCAATAACTTTGACCAAGACTTTACCCGGGAAGAGCCAGTACTCACGCTTGTGGATGAAGCAATTGTGAAGCAGATCAACCAGGAGGAATTCAAAGGTTTCTCCTACTTTGGTGAAGACCTAATGCCCTGAGCGTTCCCCCCGCCCCCCAGGTGGAGTTTGGTGATGCTGCAAGAAGGGGTGCGGTGAAGATGGCTGTTTTCCAGAGGCTCAGAAGGTCTTGAACTACTTCTCCTCCCCGGAGCCCCGATCCCTGTCCACTCTATTTATTGCATTCCCTTAGCCCAGGCCAGCTCCTGCCTCCTCCTGCCTGGTGACCAGAAGGCACTCTTGGCTCTCGGCGCACCGGGAAAGCAGCACCGTGTTGGGCCGGCCGTTAGCTGGACACGTCGCTGTGTTTGGTCTGTTGGGGAGCCTGTTTCTACTTCTCAGGGGCTCCTGGCAGTGAAGCGACTTCAGTTCTTTCACTGCAAAGGAAAATGTAAAAGGCAAACAAGAAGACTCGGGCTCTGCAATTGAACGTAGAATTCCAACAACTCTTGCTTCTCATCCCTCCAGTCCCCCCCGCCTGCCATCCTCTGCCCTTCTGTGTGGGGGAAGAGATTGCTGCTTCAGCCTGAGGGGGGCGCCCTGAGGTGCCTGTGAAGGAGAGAGACTGGGCGAGGCGCAGGTTGGCTGCCTGTGGTGGTGTGTCTGGAATGGCTAATTCTTGCTTGCTTTGGTGTTGGCTTGGGGGCATGCCAAAGTTGTGGAAGCATGTATCTTGTGGAAGAAATTACTCTTTTTGAAAAAGAAAATTTGATTTTGCACTCTCTTAACGTTTGGAAAAGATATCCTCAAATTTGCTAATTGGCCAACAGATACAGATTCCAGTGTTAATACAGGTTGATATTAAAGGGCTAATATGCAACGAGAAACCAGTTGTCCAAAGTTTATACTCCTAATGCATTGGTGGCGCACGGGGGCTGTACGAATTGAGAGAAAAGGAAACAAGCGTGGTCCTCGTTATTAACATTCTGCCTGAATACGAAGGCCACCGCCCTGATGGCCACGGCCCTGGGGTTCTCGCAAAACTCAGCTCCCAAATTCTCTTTCCAGTTTCGTCCTGAGTTCCCAGCATAAACTCTATTTATTTTCTGCAGCAGTGTGTTATTTTTGCGCACTTCTACAAAATGGTAGTACTACTGTGTTGTGGTTTTTAAACATTAAACATGTAAAGTTGAATATGAAATACCTGCTTTTGGAACAAGCAGAATGAGGTTAAACATGAGTCCTGCAGAGCGTGTCAAGAGACTGAAAAGCAACTTGCCTGGAAACTGACAACGTGGCCGGACGGACTGGGAGGCTTGTTCCTGTGTGACGCGGAAAGGCAACTCATGTGGACACTATTTAATGGATGCGATGTTACCTCCTGTAGATATGCTAACAGTGTTACGTTCTTTTATTCCCAAGGGTTCTCTGTGGCTTTGTGTATATGTTTCCCGGAGGTCATTTGATTATCTATTTTGCTGAACTGATTTAGCAGGGAATGGAATCCATTCCAACTGTTGCACGTGGATTTCCCAGCTGCCCCTAAATATATATACTTGTGAGTGGCAAAGTGGCACCCACGAAGCTTTTTGCCTTTTGTACATTTGAGATTTTTGTATATAGTGTTTGCTGCAAGGCCTGTGGAATTAATTCATTGAATTTAGAGGTATCAACTGCTGCATGTTCAGGCATATTATAAAACTTTAGTCTATGAAAGAATAATTCTAATAACGTCCAGGTGCAATACTCTGTATGTGTATTGGTTCAAGTTACCGAGAGATAAGTTGTGTTTGTTTCTTGGGGGGGCGGGGGGGGCGGTCAGGGAGCTCCTGTGTATTGTTTATTTCATTTTGGTTTGTTTTAAAAGATGTAAACATATATTAAGCTATATTAAATCTCACATATAGTTCTCCTGGGCTCTTTTCTGCCCTGATAGAGATGGGGAAGAGAAAGGAATGTTTTTGGATGGTGGTGTCAAAGCCTGGACAGTGACCAGCTCGAGCCCATAGGGAGTTGCTGTCCGTATTTGCACCTGGCGGGTCATGGCCTTTGTTACTAATGGTGACATTCAGTTCTCTTTTGTTTTTATTTTTTAAAAACTCAGGTGTAATTATTATCTGTTCTTATGATAATTTCAAATACTATGCTCTATCAATTTGTGTGTTTGGCACACCAGCGAAGTGATGAAGAACAGTGGATTAATTTAATTTATCTTCGGTAACTTGACGTGCTGGGGAGAGACTATCTTTTGGAGTTGAGTACAAGCACAGAAACATCTTCATGGTGGCATCATCTCATTTTTTTAGGAAGACATGACAGTACTGCCCTTCATACTCATGCCTCACTACTGCTCTCTCTTTTTCCTCTGCTTCCCTGGCCATGAGGAACTTTGAACAACCAGGCCAGCTCCAACTGCAATGCCCAATGGCCTTGTCCAAGGACGTGGTGGTGGTCCCATGTCGGCGGGGGTTGGACCCTTTCAACAGGACAACTGGCATTTTTGCTGGGAAGTCAAATAAGAATACATTCCACCCAGCAGCTCCAGGCAGGCAGTCAATAGGTTGCCTGGCCCAGTGACAACCCCGTCAGTACCCGAAGCGCCATGCTTGCTGGGTCACCTCCTCCTTGGGGCTGGAGCTGGCCAAGCTCTCACACTGGCAGATTCAAATCCCATGTTGTCTATAGGAAAAGGCTTGTGTGTTCCTTGAGTATTCATTGCTTCATTTTAGTTTTCACAAGCGTTTGGAAGCGGACACACTGTTACATTTCTGCTGATTCTAATCTTTCCAGCGCTCGCTCTCTCTCTCTCTCTCTCTCTCTCTAAGAAAAGAAAAATGGAGTGTAAAAAAAAAAAAGCCAAAACACATATGAAGGATAGCTGTCCTCCTGTGTTCTCTCATGATGGAAGTGAGAAACCTTGTGGAGTGGAAACATAACTTTTTCCTCCAAAGGTGAAAAAAAATCAATGCATTCTTGCTTTAAGGAAAAACAGAAGAAAGCTAAAAAAGAAATTACCTCTTTTTAAATTATGTGCAAAATAATTCTGGCTAAATAGAAAATGTATTCAATTTTAAGGATTTTCTTTTTTTTTTTTTGTATTGTGATGCTTTAATTTGTACATTTTTCCCCCTTTCTGGATGTAATTTTAATCTCTTGCCATTCATTAGTGTTATTTCATTGTAAACATTATTGTGCCAAATGTACTGTATTCAAAAGGATGTGAATGTGTATGTTTTCCGAACCTAATAAATACAATGATGTTAAATCTTATTTCTCAGTCTCAGTGAACATTTGTGTCTCCCCTGTGAGTGGCAAGGTGGCACCAGTGGAAACCTAGACTTCGTTTCCACTTTCCCCTTGTCCTTTGACGATGCACAAAGGAGGCCAGTAACCTGATTTGCACACTCCCCTTGCCCACCTCAGCCTCGCCTCTGCTCTGGGACTGCCGGCCAGAGGGATGAAGGGGCCTGCGTGGGCTGGATGTGGCGCTGGCTGCCTCGGAAGGAGCTGCTTGGGACACGGGCAAGCAAAGCAGGCAGCACCCTGGTTCTGTCTTCTCCAGAACCAGTGCTGGACCTCCTTGCAACCGATGCTCAGTCAAGCCTCTTCAGGACTCAGTCTCTGACCTGCTACTCAGAACCTGGAGTCCAAGAAACTCCTCCCAGGCTGAGAGCCCCTTGCAGGCTGGGCGGGGAGTGCAGACTGGCCAGTGGGGTTTCATGCTAAGCTACTGTCCACCTCCCCTCTCAGCCACCTGAGTTCCTCCTTCACTCTGGGACTCCCTCCCTCCCTCCCTCTCCACTCATGTTGTGCTGGCTCTCCAAGGCTCCTCGTCTTCTTTCTCCAGCACGGATTTTTCAAGAACATTTGAAACTCAAAGGCGTACTTGAGTTCACCAGAAATTTCAAGGAACCAAAACTCCCTGTTCTGTAAGAGTGTGGGAATGATTGCAGTTTTACTATGTGTCATTCTCAGAGGACGGGATGACCCAACTTGTCAGCCCACAAAGTCACTGCTTCATACGCCTGCCGCTGGCTTTGGAATGTATATCATCCTGCGGGCGCTTTTCCTCTCACAGTCTTCCCCTCCCAGCAACGTGGCCTGGCTCCCTCAAGACGTAAGCATGGACCTCAGACCCACCTCACGAAGAAGGTTGTGCTTATCACAGAGTTTCCTCTTTGATCGGGCAGCTGTTCCTAGGGAAGTGACTACCCCAGGAAAAGCAAGCTTCCCATCAGTGTGTCTGTCTTACCACGAATTTATGTGAAAGTCAGGGGAAACAAATTAAAAGGAGCTGTTCTGACAAGGCCAGAAGACAGCTCCAGGCATTTCACCAAGTGAAAAATGACCCGTCTACACCTCTCTCGCCCAGTGGCCCAGAGACCCGCTCCAAAGTCCTGGCGATGTGAGAACTCGTCCTCCCAAATCCATGTGCTCCACGAATCACACTGAAGCTCTAAGAAAGGCCAATTGCTCATTAGCATCCCTGGTTTGGACTTTCTCCCCCGACCTCAACCACGTCCCAGGCACTGGCAGGTCTGTTCCAGGGAAGCCCTGGCCGCTGGTCCCTGGCAAGGGTTAGATGCTGCTTTAAGAAAGCCTGTCTGTGTGGCTGTGCCCTGAACTGAGAAACAGCAGAGGGAATCTGTGGGAAGAATGCCCCTTCTCTATGTCCTTGCACCCGAGGACAGTCCGTACTTGGCTTACCAGCACCTGAAGTTCTCAGGCAATAAAATAACAGGAGGCATGTGCTGCCCTGGCGCTTACCATGGCAAAGAGGTGGATTGGAAAGAAGGCTTAGAAGCCACATTATGAATTCTGTTTTTCAGTGTAAAGCACTTTAGCCTAGATCAGTGATGGCGAACCTATGACACGCGTGTCAGAGGTGACGCGCGAACTCATTTTTTTGGTTGATTTTTCTTTGTTAAATGGCATTTAAATATATAAAATAAATATCAAAAATATAAGTCTTTGTTTTACTATGGTTGCAAATATCAAAAAATTTCTATATGTGACACGGCACCAGAGTTAAGTTAGGGTTTTTCAAAATGCTGACACGCCGAGCTCAAAAGGTTCGCCATCACTGGCCTAGATAATGGTACTACCTTCGTGGTATGTTAGTTTTAAGCTAAACCTAAAGGGTGACCAGCGGTGGTGATCAGGAGTACGGCCTCCAGGAATGGACAGCTGGTTGAATAAATAGCACTTATTCAGAAGGCAAGAGCTTCAGCTCTTTGATATCCCATCAGCACTTGCGGGGAGGGGGTGTTATTAGCATAAATAATTTTAGGAAAGGAGTTCCTCAGGGAAAGTGGCGTGGCATGTTCATTAGCATAAAGGAAGTCAGAAAGGTGATAGGAATGGTGTTTGAGATGAGTAGATTGGCAAAGATATTTTAATCACATTTAAAAACACACAGGCTGTGAGAACTTCAACTTCCCTACTAATCAGGGAAATGAAAATTTAAATCAAACCTCATTACCACATCACAGCCACCAGAATGACTCCATAAAAAAGGCAGACATAGCAAGTTTGGAGCCATCAGAACTTTCAGTGTTTCTGGTTGGAGTATAAAATGGTGCGACCACTTTGAAAAACTTGGGCAGTGTCTACTATAGTCAAATGTGCAGACCCTGGACTCAGCCGAAAATTCCATCAGCGGCAGAATAGGCAAATGTGGACTCTTTCTGCAAGAGGGCCCATGTTGCGGTGAGAATGATTTCCAGTTACACACAGCAACAGGTGAATCTCACAATGTGATGATGAGTTTAAGAATCCAGGCACAAAGGGGAACAGACTAATTCCAGTTACATCAAGTGTAAAAACAGGCCGTCTATGCTGCCTGAAATAGGCCAGTGGTTGCCCTTTTGGGGGTGGAGAGGTGGTGACTAGGCGTGGGCACCAAAGGGCTTCTGGGGTGCTGGTTTGGTTTTCTGAGCTGGGACCTGGCAAAAAGGTATGTTCACTTTGTGATCGTTCATTGAGCTGTACTCTTAGGATCTGTGCACTTGTCAATAAAAAATTACTCAAAAAAACCTTGGGGGTGGCACCCTAGGCCAGATCTGCAAACTGCCTGTTTCTTTGCTGTCTTGGGGGCATCTTGGTTGCCTGACTCCCACAAACAGCCTGATCCTGTGGCTGGAACAGGGTGGCATTTGCCTTGAGGACCTTTCCTGTGAGGCACTGTCATAAACACCAAACCGACTACAGCGGGAACGTCGTGGACCTTCCAGAATGCCCACAGCCTCTTCTGTGCCTGCTTGTTAATGCAACGTCTGTGTATGTAGCAGAATGTGGTTGGTGAGGTGGTCAGGGAGTAGCCAAGTCTCCCCTCTCACAGCCACTGAGATCTACCAAAGAGAAGCCACAAACTTGGCTTGGAGAGTCCGCAGCAGGCGAGGCTTGGCTTCAGCTCCTTCACCGTGGGCAGGTCACTGCACCTTGCTCAACCTGTTGCCACACTTGGAAAATGGTGGTAATAAGAGCTACCGCTTCCAAGGCCCGTTGTGAAATCTCAGTGCCATGAAGCTTCCACAGCAGTGTCTAGTACTGTTGCTGTTATTTCTCATCCCTGGATGAAATCACAGCCTGAATCACGGGGAAGAGGTGCTTGGTCACCTGACACCCTCATCCCACCAGTGAAGGCCCATCTGTGGGGCAGAAAGGAAGCACAAGCAGCAAAGACCAGCTCCAGGTCCTCAGGGCACTTAAAACCAGCAGGATATGAGTCAGGTGTGATGCAAAACAGCAGTATAAGACAGGCAAGAGAATGCAGAGGTAGCCCTGAAGATGATGCCAGGGAAGTCAAGGGGGATTAGGTTTGTGCTATCCTGGCAGTCTTCCTGGAGGAGTTATCAGTGAGAGGGGACTGAAGGATGAGGTGAATATGGGCAGACAAAGGGCAGAGAAGGGCCTTCTCAGCTACACATGCTGTGGCAGGGCTGAGGGGTTTGGGTACCAAGTCCCAGAGCAGGGCTGCAGTGGCCTTCACTATCATTTCTCAACATGAGATTGTCAAGGTCATGGCAATCCTTCAAAGTGTTTTGATGGTGTCTCTAGGAAAGCCCAGCACAGACCTTCGATGAAGGCACCCTGTGTGTGTGTGGAGGGGCGGGGGGAGCTCATTTCACTGCCCGCTCTTACCAAGTGGGTCAGGTAGATGCTTCCTGAGGGTTGAGATCAAGCCAGCCTCAGTCTTCAACCCATCAGGCCAACAATTACCAGCCACACCCCTCTCAGGCCTCTGCTCACTGGAGCCGGCAGCTCCATTGGCTGCTTAGAGAGGCTCTGCAAAGGCCCCCTCCTGGGCACCATCAAGGAATCCCATCCATGCTCCCTTCGTTAGGTTGTTAATCATTTCACATTTATTATCTTCCTTATTCCAGACATTCTGCTAAGCACTTCACATAGGTCATTTTTTAAACCTCTCAAAAATCACACGAAGTAGGTAGAATCCCATTTTATAGGTGAGGAAATGGAGGTTCAGAAATTATAGAATGTATTTAGTCCTTACAACCCCATGGAAGTGTTGTATTCTGATGCCCACTCTATGGATAAGAAAATGAAATTGTTCCAATGCTCAGACCCAGTGACAGTTCAGGTCCGGAAAGGACAGAAAGAGAACACAAAACTATTCATTCTCTCATTTATTCCACAAACTTATTCCACAGATGTTCATAGAGTTCCTACTATGTGCCAGCCATTCATATGGACATCCATAAACAAATCTGACAAAAATCTGTGCCGTGACAGCACTTACTCGGGGGAGGGATGTTGACAAATATTAAGAGTAAATACGACCATTAAGTGAATCATATGCTGTGTTAGAAGATCCAGGCCACCCCTAATATTTGATGCAAGAGTACAAATGGAGGTCCAGACCATAGGGCTAAATATTTTTTAAGTTATAAATCCAACTATTGTTAAATATGTTCTAGCCCCAACCCTTGACAAAAACACCTTCCTAACAACCTGAAGGCCAGGTTTGAATTTAGGGAGTAGGAGGAGAGAATGAGGGAGGAGAGACTTCTAAGGGAAGAGGAAGACTAGGAGAGGGGAGCCAGTAGGAGCCAGTGTGAGGCTGCCCAATATGCAGGTGAGCTGCGGCCTGCTGGGGCCATGTGAGTCAGCTGCTGTGCCTCCGGAGATTTCAGCTCAGCAGAGGAAGTTAGAATAAGGGCTGGACTGGATGGCACCTCCCGACCCTCCTTCAAATCTCCCTCCCCCCCACACACATACATACGTTAGCCAAGGCCAGCTCCTCCTCCAGA